AACCTCAGGGAAAGCCCCCAGCCCCATCCCTAGGGTCATTCCACAGCCTCCTGCAAGGCTGGGAGCAGCGTTTCCCTCAGAGAAAGCCCCCATCCCCAGGGTGGTCCCGCAGCCTCCTGCGAGGGCAGGAGCAGCGTTTCCCTCAGGGAGAGCCCCCAGCCCCATCCCCAGGGTGGTCCCGCAGCCTCCTGCGAGGGCAGGAGCAGCGTTTCCCTCAGGGAGAGCCCCCATCCCCAGGGTGGTCCCGCAGCCTCCTGCGAGGGCAGGAGCAGCGTTTCCCTCAGGGAAAGCCCCCTTTCCCCCAACCTTGCTCTCTTCCCCAGCCCTCCAAGCCTGCTTGCGGGGTCTCCGCAGCCCTCCTCTGCTTCAGAAGGCTGGGGCATCCCTTTTCTTTGCAACGGGACTTGGGATACTCCTGTTTTCTTCTCCGATAAGGTATGGTTGATATAGGGCCGCCACCCCAGTTGTGGTGATGGCTAGGGTTCGGTGAGTAACAGCAAATCTTATTTAACTGTTCCTTTTTGCATGTTGTGTAGGAGGCTCGTTGTCCTCACGAGTTTTGCTCTAGGTGGAAGCGAGACGGCTTTTAACTGGCCGTAAGGTTGTTGGCGGGCATGGACCAATATCCCTTCTGCGACGAGAACGCGGTTCACCTGGAGATGCATCCCCCTGGATTTTCCGAAAGCCCCGGGCTGGTCTGCAGCGAGGCTCTCGACCACGATTTGTGCCTCAATGCGAAAGACGCGATGTTTGCCGGGCTGAGCGGCTTGGACGTGGTGCCTGACCTCGCAGCTGCGGATGCGGCTCTGGAGGCCGATTTAAACGTGCTCTCTCCGTACCCGGCGAAGGACTGCGACTCTCTTCAGCTCCTCGATGAGCCTGACTCGCGGCCCTCGCAGCACGGTGAGCGCGCTGGGCTCTGCGCTCTCGCTTATTTTGAAGGGTGCCGTACAGAGCAAAGCAGGCGGAGTTATTTAGTAGCTTTAGACAGGTGGCGGAGTCCATTATGTGGAAATATTTTTGGGGTGAAGAGGTGGATGTGTGGGGTTTTTTAATCAGTAAGCGCTTTGAAAATGTTTCTCGTTGCCTTTTACCTGTAAAATGACGTTCAAGTTGATAAGGCTGTAGAAAATGATAGTAATTATAACACTTCTCTCTGACAGGAATTTCACTTCTGTCCTATTTTCTTAAAATTATACCCTAGACAGGAATATGTTGGGTGGGTTTGTTTTTTTTTTTTTCTTCAAGAGTCCTTGCAACCTGCTCTCCAGCTGGAAATGGAAAATGCGAAGGCATTAAAATGATAGATTTGCTAAATATGTTGCAAACATCTATATTACTGGCTTTCCCCGGAGCGGAGAAGAGACATTCTGTTTAATTCTTTCTGCATTTCAAATTCTCTGTGAAATGGATTAAGCAGAATGGGCTTTTTCTAGGTCTGCCGTTGCAAGGAGAGCGCCTTTAGTAAA